GCCATCCGTCCCCCCTCTTCACACCATCCGCTCCCCCTCACCCCTGTCAGACCCCTCTATCCTCGCCGTCCTTTCTCCCTCTTTGCGCCATCCGTTCCCCCTATCCTTGCCATCCCTTCTCCCTCACCTCGCCATCCGTTCCCCCTCGCGTCGCCTCCCCCTCACCCCTGTCCGTTCCCCTTAGCCTCGCCGTCCGTTCCCCCTCTCCACGCCATCCGCTACCCCTCACCCCTGTCCTTTCCCCCCATCCTCACCGTCCGTTCTCCCTATCATCGCTGTCCGTTCCCCCTCTCCTTGCCATCCGGCCCCCCTCATTTCGCCATCCATTTCCCCCTCTCCTTCCTATGCATCCCCCGATCTCGTCGCTATCCGCGGCCCCCCGTGCCGCTTTAACGCCGGCTATACACATGCGTTTCGTCACGGGGCCTAATGGCAGGTCTTAACCTAGGTTCGCTTCCTTGGCTCGTTTACGCTGGTTTTAGCTTGTCCCTCTGTGTGTTGTGGTATGACACATATGGAGGTCACCTACTCGGAGAATAAATCCGTCTCCCCGTAGTGGTATGAGTTGGTCGTCGATGCGCGGGGCGGTTTTTTTTATCTGACCTGTGCTGTGGCAGCTATGGGTTCCTAAGCTTGTGTGACTACGAGATTATCTCCTCCTTAGAAACGTGAAGCACACCCATGGAGCTCTTGAACGATGGGTTCGAGGTTGTGGTCGCACATAAACAATTTTGGTTAGGTTGTGCGACCTCAGTTCTTGTCGCACCATATTCCACCGAAGTCGTGGGGGTGCTTGGTGCGTCGTGGCCCTCTCGCTACGTTTCAAAATGTCGCAAGACATGTTTTTTCGTTACTTTTCATGTGGAGTGCTCCAGTCTGGGTCTTTTATTCTGACCACCAAAAAACACAGTTTTCAAGAGCACCCAAGGTGTGCTTTTTTAGCCTGTGGTTTTAAGATAAATGTTTAGTCTCTCAAGTGAACGATTTTTGGATCCTGAGTTTGAGTTTCTCAGTTTGCGACAGCGCTGACAGTTCGCAATAGTGCCGTCGATCCTTACTACGAATCAGGATGTATCAGCGCCGTCAATTCTCAACAGCATACATGCATGGCGCCGCCAATTCTCATCAGCATGCATAAGCATTTTCGACGCTTGTCAGCGTACGTCTGTTTCGTCAACGTGCGCTGGCAGCTCGCGACGTCGCTTGCGACGGCTTCTTCTTGCTCGCAGCTCTCTGGTGACGATCCGTGCGAAAGACGTGGCGAGCTTGTGACGTCCTCGTCTTCATGCGACTCTCCGAGAAGCCGTTTCGTCAACGCATCTGGCGTGCGACGTTCGCGAGCGACCTGATTGCGACTTTCGTTTTGTTGCGGAATCGTTATCAACTTTCGTTACGATTTGTCGGCCGTCGCATGGAAAGAAGTTGTTGCTATGGTAAGTTTCCATCCCGTTCTAGTGACTGATTAATCGTTTTCCAGCCGCTTTAGCCGTTTTTAACATGTTGACGGATTATCTCACCTTTTTACTCGCATTGAACTGTTCCTCGTGCAGGGTCGGCTCTCCAGCGAAAATCTGTCATAATCATCACGCGAAGATCCGTTAATCTTCAGGCGAATATTCGTTAATCGCACGCGAAGATCCGGTAATCGTCAGGCGTAGACTGGCCGTTAATCGTCATGCGAAGACCGGCCGTTAATCGTCAAGCGAAGATCCGATAATCGTCATGCGAAGATCCGTTAATCGTCACGCGAAGATCTGCCGTTAATCGTCGTTTTGTTCAAACTTCGACGGCCGTCCGATGGAAATGTCGTTGAGATGGTGCGTTCTGATTCCAACCTCTAGCGACCTGTCGTTAATTGTTTTCCTTTCATAGCTCCAGCCGTTTTATCGTCGTGTCATGACAGATTATCTCACTTATGTTCCGATTTATCGTGCAGGGTCGGTTTACCCGCGAAGATCGACCGTTAATCGTCGCGGATCGGCCGTTAACCGCCAGGTGAAGATCCGTCGTGAATTGTCAGGCGAGGATCGGCCGTTAATCTTCACCGTGACGGATCGGCACAAAGATCGGCCGATGACGACGTTGTACAACGAGCGCAACCGTCGCCTCTGTGCACGACGCTGCACTTCTGGCTCTCTCCGCCGACTCCGACTCGGTAAGTTCGTGTTCGTGTTTATGGCGGAATTTCACGAGTTCTCACTCGTGAGATTTCACGTGCGATTTCACGTGAGATTTCACGTGCGATTTCTCCGTTTTCGTCGCTTTACATTCAACTCGGTTAACCAATACTAACGGAGTCCTGACTGTCTGATTGTAGACCCTCGACATTCCACCTGTCGCCGCCGCGTCTCTTGCGAGGATCGTTACCAGAGAGCCGCGTCGACGGGAGAGTCACTCAGTCGGTCTCTCTCGCCTCGCCTCGCCTCGCCTCGCCTCGGACTCGGTCGGTCTCACTCACTCGGTCACTCCCATCCGACTCTCTCATCTAACGGAGCGGATCTCGAGCGGATCTCCTCGCGGCCTTACTTCAGCGGCCTGCGTAAATCCGTGTCTCTTGGATTCGCCTCGCCTCCCCCTCGCCTACGCCTCCACCTTCTACTCCACCTCCGTCTCCAGCCTGGCCTCCACCTCCGTCTCCGCCTCCGCCTGGCCTCCACGTCCGCCTCCGCCTCCGCGACGATCGGTGGGCGACGACTGGTGGGTGACAACCAGCTCGAGATGGAGCCGTGATACGGAAACGAGTCAACGCCAGCCGCTTCCTAACCGCCTAAGTTCCCTCTCACTCTCTCACTCCTACCCCTCTTCTCCCATCGCGCCCTGCTTCGCCCCTCCCATCCCCACCTCCCCTTGTCGTTGCGTATCCATTCCTCTATGAAATTTCCGCCTCTGGTTGTAGCGAAACCCGCGAGTCACAGACCACCTACTGCGGATAAGCCTTCGGAACTTCGGGGTAATGACCAGGGTAAGTCGGTAGCTGAATGGTCAAGCCTCTGCTACTTCAGGGTTTCAACCCAAGAGTAAGTTGGTACAGCGGTACTCCCCCCCAGCATGGTTAAGCCCAATGTAAGTATTTTGAGCCTTTGGTACTTCAAGTTTAAGCCCCAGAGTAAGTTGGTAACAGCTGTACTCCCCCCTTCCTTGTGTGTGACTTCGTGGGTGCAGCTGCGAACAGCAGGCCCCCCACCTTCCTCCTCCCTCTTCTTTCCTCCTCCTTCCTCTTCCTTGCTCCTCCTTCCGCCTTCCTCAACCATTCTTTCCATTTCGTTTTTCGTGCTCTCACTTGTTCTTGTTTCACCTTTGCATTCTGCCGCTTTCTGCTTGTCTTCTCGTGCACACCCCAGCCCCCTGTTGTCAGTGGCACGTGATGCGCGTGCCACATTTCTCTTGCCACTCCAACCCCTCCCCCTCCAAAACCGCTCGTTACAATTCTTCACCTACCCTAACCCATTTCCCACCAACCAAACCTACTCTACCTACCAAATTTCCAACCCAAATTTTCCAGCTCATCTCCTCCAACCTAAGGCCTCCCAACTACTCCTTAATTTTCCCCAACTCTTATAATCATTCCTAGTCCACCTCAACCAAGCTTCCAACCAATCCTCCTATTCATCTCCAACTCCCACCTCAAGGCACATGACTCTTCATCATTTTCCATGTGCTCTCTCTTCCTACTCATCAAGAATTCTCCAAGTCATCTACTCCAACCAAAAATCCTCCTCACATGTGCCTCAAGCACATTCCTCCCTTCCCTACTCATCAACCTCCACATGCCCCTTATTTATTCCTTCCTTCCTATCCCAAGTCATCCAAGTTGCCATATCATCACACAAGACTCTCATGATTCCTTACATTCCTCACCTTCCAACTCAACAAAGCTTTCATTCCTCCTCCTTTCCTTCCTTTCCAACTCATCCAAATTTCTCTCCAGCACCACATGGTTTACAACTCCAAGTCACCAAAGGCTCAACAACCATCACATGCTCCGCTACTATTCATCTTCACCAAGAATCCTCTCCAACTTCTCAAGAAGTTTTTCAAAGTACAACAATGTTAGGATTAAGGACAGAGTCTAGGTGAACTTAGGAGCTAGAATTACTCAAAATATAAATCCGAAATTCTGGACAGAAAAGTCGTCTTCACAAGAAACGACGTCGACAAAACACTAGCCGTTGGAATGTCGCGAAACTTGGATATGTTGTAGCTCTTGATCTCAGCTACCGTTCCCAATTTGAATCACGTTGATTGATGAAGTATTCGCGACGCTATGGCTTTCGACGCATTAGGGGGTAAGCTGTAGGAGGAGAACTTAACTCAATCTCAAAGGTTCAATCAAAGTTCAAGAATCTCACAAGGAATTAGAAGGAGCAAGAGAAAGGTTGGGATAGGAAGAGAGGGATGAGAGGGAAGGTCCCAAGAGAGTCCCCAACCAAGGAAACCCCATAAGCACAAAGATTCCCTCCCTATAGGAACCCCAACTTTGACATTTGTCCCTTCCCAACCAATCCATCCAAGTTGGCCACCCTTGCCAACCTAGCTTGGTTGTTCCCAACCAATTTGCAGCTGTTACAGTAGAGTGACAAGTTTCCCCAACCCCAAAGGTCCCAACTCCATATAAAGTCACCCCACAACTTCACTTAGTAACCGCCGCAATTGTAACGCAAGCTCATGAACTTTGAATCTTCATAGCTTTCGCGTTCTTGCTCCGATTGAAGCGATTCTTGTTGCGTCGGAAAGATCTTCTCAAGATCTATCATCACAAATACCTGCTCAGACAGAATAACACAAAACACATTCCCAAACTCCAGAACACACCACACACAAATGCTTGCACATTCAAACCACACATGCAAGTTGAAAAAACATGGGATGGGAGGCAGACAGAATGTGATAGCATATGATGACATCACACAACAATCTCCCCCTCTGGCTGCCAACCATCATCCACCATACCAACATCTCAAGCATGCATACTCAATGCACACTCATCCCAGCAAGCTTCATGCCCTTCCAATGATCCGCCTCCGCCAGACGCTTGGTGAAAATATCTGCTGCCTGCTGATGGGTCTTCACTATCTCCAGCCGCACCTCCTTATCAAGGAGTCTCCTCACCCAATGCCACTTAGGCCTTATGTGTTTTGTCAGCCCATGCAGACAAGCATTCTTGGCGAGCTTCACAGCGGACTCATTGTCACAATGTCCATCTGCCGTATCTTCCATCCCAGGAGTGCAGCTATCGCTAACAGCACCCTCAGTGTTGTTCCTTTCCCCACAGGAGCAAACACCTCATCATAGTCCTTCCCCTTTGTCTGCTGAAACCCCCGTGCCACAAGCCTAGACTTGTAGCGGGTCAGCTCCCCTTCAGGTCCATACTTGTGCCTGTAGATCATCTTGGAAGTGATTGCCTTCTTTCCAGGAGGCAAGTCACACAGGTCCCATGTCTCGTTCTCAATTAGGGACCCGAACTCCTCATCCTCACTCGCCTTCCACTTCTCCCCATTTGGTCCATTCAAGGCCTCCTCTCGAGTCTTGGGCTCAGGGATTGGTGCCCAGTAGCAGTGAGCGATCTCATCTTCCTCAATCTGCTCAACCACACTCCCAGCCTGCACCACATTTGGCTTGCCTCTTCCCCCATAGGTCAGCCTCACAGGAGGGCGCACATCCCTCCTAGGTCGCTCAGGCGGGTGTGGAACTCGAGGTGGAGACTCATGTTGCTGTTGCTGCTCCACTTCAGCTGCTCCCCCTTCTTCAGTCACCCCAGATATCTCCTCCTCAGACACTGCAACCTCCACCTGCCTTGAAGGCTGCTGCAACTCATCTGCCTCCACAATGAGTGGTGTAGATGGAAGCTTCTGTTGCTGCTGCTTCCATTCCTTATAGTACAGGGACTCAAGAAACTTCACATCCCTTGACACTGTCAGCTTCTGGATGGTCAAGTCCCATAGAAGCCATCCCTTGTGATCCTTTGCAATCCCCAAGTGCACACCCCATCTTCCAGAAGCCTCCAACTTCCCTCTTTTCTCCTTAGGCACATGAAACACTACCATGCACCCAAATGCCCTCAGCATATTCACAGCTGGAGCACTCCCATACCACTTGGTATATGGGATCCACTCCTTATCCCCAACTGTAGCCAGCACTCTATTCTTCACAAGGGCGACCTGCCTCAGTGCAGACACCCAAAACGGATCAGGTAGCCCTGCACGCCCAAGGAGAGTGCGTGCCCCCTCCTGCAGGGTCCTGTTGAACCTCTCAGCCACGCCATTCTGCTGCGGGTTGTAGGGCACTGTCAGTTGATGCTGGATCCCCTTCCTCTTCAACTCCCCCTCAAAATCAGCTCCAATGAACTCCCCACCATTGTCACTACGGATCACCTTCACCTTGTGTCCGCATTCCCTCTGAGCTCTCGGCATCCACTCCTTAAGGACAGCCGCTGCCACCTCCCCCTTGCTCTTCAAAGGGTAAACCCACACTGCCCGAGTGTGGTCATCCACAATTGTCAAGAAATAGCGGCTGCCTGAGAGGGAAGGGGCTCTTGTGGGCCCCACCACATCCATATGCACAAGTGCAAGTGGGGTCTTGGCTGGTCCTGTAGTGCTGTTGAAGGGGAACTTGGAGAACTTGGTCTCCAAGCATGTAGGGCAGCTCCCAATCTCCTTCACTCCCCCTTTCACCTCCAAGCCCTTCAGGCTCCCATCCTTCACCAACTTCTGCAGCATAGGGAAGTTCACATGACACAGCCTCTCATGCCATGTCTCCCAATCGGCCTCTCCACTCCTTGATGAAGCCTTAGCCCATGCCGCACTCGCATCCACACCAGCAAGCACCTCACCATGTGTCTGCTGCTTCTGCACTTTCTTGACTGCTTCCAGCACCCCATCAGTTGGTGCAGTTGCATCTCCTCCTGCTGTTGCCTTTGCCACTGCTGCCGTTGCTGCTGTTGGAGTCTTCCCATTCCATGGGATGATGGGCAGCTGCCACAGGTCCTTGATGCAGCTGGTCTCCTCTTCCAGACTCCACAGCACCTTCTTCCCAAGCTTAGCACGGCAGCTGGTTGGTCCAAAGGTCACTTCGGCCTTGCTCTTCTGCAGTCGTTGCACAGAGAGAAGGTTAGCAGACAAGCCTTCAACCAGCAGAACATTCCCAAGCCCCACAAGCTCCCCATTAGCTCCCTTAACCTTGGCATTTCCAACACCAATGACAGGGAGCAAAGCACCTGACGCTGCTGCCACATACTTGATCTTCCCAGGGGGTTTTACCTCATCAAGCAAATCTGCCCGTGGGGTCATGTGACTGGTGCAACCTGAATCAATCACCCAGTGCGTGAGAGGGTGCATCACAACCTTTCCCACAGATCCCACATCACCCTCATGCCCATGCACATCCTCAACCATGAGATACATCCCAGGATAGGCGTTACCTTGTGCACCTTCACCTTGTGCACCTGAGCCTTGCACAGCGCCACCTTGTGCGCGTTCACCACTTGGCGGCTTCATGCCTGGAGGTGACCATCCCTCCGGCCTGCTGAAGCACTTGAACCAAGGATGCCCGACCTTCTTGCAGTACCAGCAGGTGCCCTCCATTCTGGTACTCCCCCTGCCACTGGAGCTCCCATGCCCCTCATTATAGTCACCTCGGCCTCTACCTCTGCCAAAGCTTCTCCCACGGCCTCGGCCTCTCCAACCCCCTCTTCCTCTGCTGCGCCCTGCAGCTCCATACCCCTCAGCAGTCTTGATCTTGCTGAGAGTTGAGGGTGGGGATGAGGTTGTCCCAAGAGTTGTCCAACACCGAGATGATCTTGGTGCACTGCTGCAGCTGAGATACACTGCTGCCCGCTGCTGCCATCCTTGGAGATGGCAGCAAGTTCCTTCTCGAGCACGATCACAATCAGGAGAGTGTTGGGCTGAACCACATCACGTAGTAGTTTCCACGCCCTTGGACCCGAATCATCCGCTTCCACAAGATCCTTGATGTGCTCGAACATCTCCTTGTTGACCGATTGAAGAATGAGGTCGAAAAGCACCGCGCTTTTCTCAATCCACCGTTCACGTGCTTCGCCTTCTTCCGGCATCTTCTCTTCCCCAACAGCAATCTTCAGTAGCTTGTAGCGTTTGAAGGCACTCCTCATCCGTCCGCTCCATTCCTCATAGTTGGAGCCATCCAAAGCTTCAACTTTTGATGGCGGCGGCTCACTTGTCTTCTCAGGTACAGCTCCTCTTCCATTAGCATCTCCTCCTCTCTCATTCATCTTCTCCTTGAGAAATGACGAATTTCAGCTCCCCTTTGCTGTCCACACTCAGCTCCCTCGATATTTTCACAAGTGTCGGCGTCCACGAAATTTCGGCAGAGTTTCCCCTTAGCGGAAGACACATCCAACCTTTAGAACACCACTTAGGCACACCCACAGGCCATGGTGGGTCTAGAAGGGTCTTCAAACTTCTGTAGACTCCTCTCAATGTCCTTAATATTGCTCTGATACCACTTGTTAGGATTAAGGACAGAGTCTAGGTGAACTTAGGAGCTAGAATTACTCAAAATATAAATCCGAAATTCTGGACAGAAAAGTCGTCTTCACAAGAAACGACGTCGACAAAACACTAGCCGTTGGAATGTCGCGAAACTTGGATATGTTGTAGCTCTTGATCTCAGCTACCGTTCCCAATTTGAATCACGTTGATTGATGAAGTATTCGCGACGCTATGGCTTTCGACGCATTAGGGGGTAAGCTGTAGGAGGAGAACTTAACTCAATCTCAAAGGTTCAATCAAAGTTCAAGAATCTCACAAGGAATTAGAAGGAGCAAGAGAAAGGTTGGGATAGGAAGAGAGGGATGAGAGGGAAGGTCCCAAGAGAGTCCCCAACCAAGGAAACCCCATAAGCACAAAGATTCCCTCCCTATAGGAACCCCAACTTTGACATTTGTCCCTTCCCAACCAATCCATCCAAGTTGGCCACCCTTGCCAACCTAGCTTGGTTGTTCCCAACCAATTTGCAGCTGTTACAGTAGAGTGACAAGTTTCCCCAACCCCAAAGGTCCCAACTCCATATAAAGTCACCCCACAACTTCACTTAGTAACCGCCGCAATTGTAACGCAAGCTCATGAACTTTGAATCTTCATAGCTTTCGCGTTCTTGCTCCGATTGAAGCGATTCTTGTTGCGTCGGAAAGATCTTCTCAAGATCTATCATCACAAATACCTGCTCAGACAGAATAACACAAAACACATTCCCAAACTCCAGAACACACCACACACAAATGCTTGCACATTCAAACCACACATGCAAGTTGAAAAAACATGGGATGGGAGGCAGACAGAATGTGATAGCATATGATGACATCACACAACAAACAAGACATCTCCAAGCTCCTCTCCTTCAAGCTCCCCTTCAAGTCTTCTTCAAGCTCCTCAAGTTCACACCACTACAAAGGCTCCTTGTTAGCATTGATGTTCTATGTCTCTAGAGATGGTATTACCATGCTACCTTTCTTCCTAGACTACCATGAGTGGTCTCTCTCTCATGCATGTCCTTGTATCCACCGTGGATTATAAGGCTTGCACTATACCCTATTTCATATAAGTTTATGCTCTCAGAGTTCTCCCACAAAGTTCCTAGATTAGCAAAGTAATCAAGCATTAGTCCATCTTCATGGAATTTCATGATTCAACTTGCTGCTGATAGACGAAAACAATGCAATCCAGATCCAACTTACAGATTACCGTTTGAGTCAGCGAGCAGATCATTATCAATATTTGAAGCTGTCTGACGAAAATCCGACAGTGCTCTCCATCTCTCATTATAGGCACATCTGAGCCTATTGTGATTATAATAGGCTTGGCTTCACTTGGCTTGGCTTCGCTTGGCTTTGCTTGGCTCTGCTCTTAACTTCGCTTCGCTTCGCTTAGCTTCGCTTCGCTTTGCTTCTCTTAGCTTCACTTAACTTCGCTTTGCTTCGCTTAGCTTCGATTCGCTTTGCTTCGCTTAGCTTCGATTCGCTTTGCTTCACTTAGCTTCGCTTAGCTTCGCTTAGGTTCGCTTAGCTTCGCTTTGCTTCGCTTAGCTTTGCTTAGCTTTGATTAGCTTTGCTTCGCTTTGCTAAGCTTCGCTTTGCTTTGCTTTGCTTAGCTTCGCTACGCTTAGCTTCGCTTCGCTTCCCTTAGCTTCTCTTCGCTTCGCTTCACTTCGCTTCACTTGGCTTCACTTGGCTTGGCTTGGCTTGGCTTGGCTTGGCTTGGCCTTGCTTGGCTTCGCTTCACTTCGCTTCGCTTCACATCACTTGGCTTCGCTTGGCTTGGCTTGGCTTGGCTTTGCTTCGCTTCGCTTCGATTCCCTTCGCTTCCCTTTGCTTGGCTTCGCTTCCCTTCGCTTCGCTTCCCTTGGCTTCGCTTTGCTTGGCTTTGCTTGGCTTTGCTTCGCTTTGTTTCGCTTCACTTTGCTTGGATTCGCTTCGTTTCACTTTGCTTCGCTTCACTTCGCTTTGTTTTGCTTCGTTTCGCTTCGCTTCACTTGGATTCGCTTCTCTTCGCTTGGCTTGGCTTCGCTCGGCTTCGCTTCGCTTCGCTTTGCTTCGGTTAGCTTTGCTTCGAAGTGAAGCCAAGCGAAGCCAAGCAAAGCGAAGCCAACCGAAGCGAAGCCGAGCAAAGCGAAGCCGAGCGAAGCCAAGCCAAGCGAAGAGAAGCGAATCCAAGTGAAGCGAAGCGAAACGAAGCAAAACAAAGCGAAGTGAAGCGAAGCAAAGTGAAACAAAGCGAATCCAAGCAAAGTGAAGCGAAACAAAGCGAAGCAAAGCCAAGCAAAGCCAAGCAAAGCGAAGCCAAGGGAAGCGAAGCGAAGGGAAGCGAAGCCAAGCAAAGGGAAGCGAAGGGAATCGAAGCGAAGCGAAGCAAAGCCAAGCCAAGCCAAGCCAAGCGAAGCCAAGTGATGTGAAGCGAAGCCAAGCAAGGCCAAGCCAAGCCAAGCCAAGCCAAGCCAAGCCAAGTGAAGCCAAGTGAAGCGAAGTGAAGCGAAGCGAAGCGAAGCCAAGCCAAGCAAAGCGAAGCGAAGCCAAGCGAAGCAAAGCCAAGCGAAGCGAAGCAAAGCCAAGCAAAGCGAAGCCAATGAAAGCCAAGAGAAGCCAAGCGAAACGAAGCCAAGCGAAGCGAAGCCAAGCAAAGCGAAGCGATGCAAAGCCAAGCGAAGCCAAGCGAAGCGAAGCGAAGAGAAGCAAAGCCAAGCCAAGCGACGCCAAGCAAAGCCAAGCCAAGCTAAGCAAAGTGACGCAAAGCGAAACCAAGCCAAGCCATCCCAAGCCAAGCGAAGTCAAGCGAAGCCAAGCAAAGCCAAGCGAAGCCAAGCCAAGCAAAGCCAAGCAAAGCCAAGCCAAGCCAAGCCAAACGAAGCCAAGCCAAGCCAAGCGAAGCGAAGCCAAGCAAGTCTAAGTGAAGTGAAGCGCAGCAAAGCCAAGCAAAGTGGAGCAAAGCCAAGCCAAGCCAAGCCAAGCCAAGCCAAGCGAAGTGAAGCCAAGCGAAGCGAAGCCAAGCGAAGCAAAGCCAAGCAAAGCCAAGCCAAGCCAAGCGAAGTGAAGCCAAGCAAAGCCAAGCCAAGCGAAGCGAAGCAAAGCGAGCAAAGCCAAGCGAAGCCAAGCAAAGCGAAGCCAAGCAAAGAGATGCCAAGCGAAGCGAACCAAAGCGAAGCCAAGCGTAGCCAAGCGAAGCCAAGCGAAGTGAAGCCAAGCAAAGCGAAGCGAGGCCAAGAAAAGCCAAGCGAAGACAAGCATAGCGAAGCGAAGACAAGCGAAGACAAGCGAAGCCAAGCCAAGCCAAGCGAAGCAAAGCGTAACGAAGCGTAGGGAAGCGTAGCGAAGCGTAGGGAAGCGTAGCGAATCGAAGCCAAGCAAAGAGAAGCAAGGACAAGCAAAGCCAAGCGAAGCCAAGCGAAGCCATGCGAAGCCAAGCAAAGCGAAACGAAGCGAAGCAAAGCGGAGCAAAGCCAAGCAAAGCCAATCGAAGCCAAGCAAAGCAAAGAGAAGCGAAGCCAAGCAAAGCCAAGCAAAGCAAGGGAAGCTAACCGAAGCGAAGCGAAGCAAAGCGAAGCGAAGCGAAGAGAAGCAAAGCGAAGCGAAGCTAACCGAAGGGAAGCGAAGCAAAGCGAAGCGAAGCGAAGCTAAGCGAAGCGAACACGAAGCTAAGCGAAGCGAAGC